CTAAGCGATTTCTTGTCATACCTCTTATTTATCAGATCCCGAACCCTCTGTGACTTCTGGTGCGTCATGCCCTGGAGTTTTTTTTGAAGAGTGACAACCCCACCTAGATACTTCCTTGATCTATACTTGAGATCTATGAAGTTAAATAGCTTACGTCTCTCAGTCTCGTAACTTTCCTCGTGGACTTTGCTAACCTGAGTGCCAGAGTATGATCAAATGTCTGCCAAACAATATGAGTCAACCATCGGATGAGATCCACTGCTGAAGCTCTTAATCAGTCAACCTCCCAAGAAATGAAAATTATCAAAATATATTCTCCTATTTACGGTTGTTAAATTTTTGTCCTCTTTTTGACAACAGCCAGCAGTTAATAGTTTCCAAAGGTGTCGTAATCAGTTACGGATATTCAGCAATAATAGATTGAAGTTTGAGCTTTAAGTGCATTCGACTATACTTTCCAGATGTCCGTTCTCCTTTAGACTGCGCTAAAGATTTGACGTCACTTCTTCGACACATCAGCGCATCAACCGATCTCAAACTTTGATGATGCAGATTCAAGGGGAGCACATGGGCCAAGCTAAATTCGCCAGTACAATTGACCGGAATGTGTACTGGAAATACTCGATTCGTTTGGGGACCCAGAAAATGTTGAGTATGAGAAAGCCTTGAGCATAGTCGTAGTGACTGGCGGCAAAATCAACTATTTTTTTGGGCGAATACTCTGTAAGCTGAGCAAATAAAGGAACAATCGGGGAAGGGAAGCTGGAGATATCTGCTGTGCATCAACTGACTCACCTTGAATTGCTGCACACTTTCTCCGACTTCTTCGATGATTCCGGCACACTCCGAGCCCATCACGAAGGGCGGCTTCAGTAGAGTGTCTGCCAGTCCCTGTCTTATCATGAGATCCAAGAAGTTGATACCACTGAGGGAGAAGAGAGAATAACAAAGAGAAGGAGACGTTTTTATGACATGCAATCGGCTACGATGATGCCAACTGTCTGAAAGTCTTGTCTTATGTGGAGCTTGAAGTACCAGTCGAGAGTTGAAAGTGAAGCCTGGCACAGTTCGAGATTTCACTCCCTCCTTCGCCCGATTTACACCCAATACACACATTTAAGCATAGTTCAATGAGTGGAAATGATGCTCTATATGGCACACTTCTTCTCTTCTGTACATACTTCTCAAGCACCGACTTAGTGTTAGACTATTTTGCAATAAACAACATTTATTTATGAGAATATAGAGTGGACCATTTAGAAAGGGATACCGAATTGTGTGTTCACATTCAGAGGGCATTTATCGTCTCCATTTGGGATGTTTTAGAGGATCCTTACTTCTCACTGTATGTTCGGTGAAAATGCCTGCGATACCCAAAGTGCCTGAAATTTGACTCTTCCGGTAGGTTGAAAGTGACCTTATGAACAAGGCCACGAATTTAGGCTTGGACATGTGAACACGGCAGCCTATCGCCTAGTTCCGTTTGTCTTCATTTGAGAGGTTTTACACTATCTGCATAAGGAGTGAAGACGTTAGCCGTGGCTCTCGTCAAATTGATTACCTGAGAGAATTGGGTTGACCTCGTTGTCGCAACTTGGTCTTGTTTTCAGGGAGACCATGTACAAGGTACCTAGTG